CGTTCTTATTCTAAGGAATGTTAACAATATTTTACATTCTAACCTTTGACAAGTTCTAAACAACCTTTTGAGATTTCGAATGATAAAAATACAAAGTGTAAAGAGTAAAACACAAAATTAAAAACATAATAGTACTTGGCTTCAATCTCATCAAAATAAAAATAAAAGCACTACACATTCTTTTTATATAATTAATATTGGGTATATTCATTACAAAGAATGCATCCTACATAATAAAATTTGCTTTTAAAACCCCGACGAGAATATAACAATCATTGAATCTTTAAATCTTTAATGAAAATGTTGATTTCCAATATTTTGAATTTAAGATCTAACATGAACAAACTATATTCAATTACACTTCTAAATCTCAAACATCAACTCCTTTCTAACTGAATTGAAAATAATCAAAATCTAAACTCTTGAAAATGACACTTGGTTTGAAACTTTAAATGAAATAAGAACTAAAACCTGTTAAACAAAAAAATATTAAACTACTTTGGTTATTATTTGAGTAAGATGTAATATTCTTTAGGTTTTTCTCCACCTAGTACAACTAAAAACTCATCAAATGGCCCAGGAGTGGGAGAACACATCAAATAGCTCTAGAGTGGGAAAAATCGTCCAATGGACCGAGAGTTGGAAAACTTAACTAATGACTTAAGAGTGAGAAAATTCATCAAATTACCCAGAAGTGAGAAAACTCTCAAATTCCTAGGAGTGGGTAAAATCTGATATCTCTGTTCATTTCTTTTTTTTTTAAATGTGAGTCCCTATGTTTTACATCATAATGTGTTATGGTAAATCAATTTAAATTTTCTTTTTGGTTTGCCATAACCTCACTTTGTGTTGTCCTTCCCTTTGATAAACTCTTAGGTTAGATATGAGTCCCTACGCTTTCTATCCTAATCTAATCTCCAAGTTCACCTCTTAGGTTGGATGTGAGTCCATATGCTTTACATCTTAATATACATATGTAAATCAAATCAAATCCATTTTGGGTCTAGTTTATCTTTCCTACTGGTTGCCTTTCCATTTAATTAGCTCTCAGGATAAATACGAGTCTCTATGCTTTCCATCTTTATCTAGTCACCATGCTCACCTTTTTGGTTAGATTTGAGGCTTTGTAGTTTCCACCCAAATATTCAAGTAAATAAGGTTGAATATGAAATGTTTCATATTCTGCTTCACGGGTCACACCATAACATGAAGTGTTCGATAGAGAAATCCCTTGCCTAGTAAATCGAAGATGAGTGCAAGTCCCCATGCTTCTTGGTTTATTGTATTCATTAAAGTCCATCAAATAATAGGAAATGTAGGGTTCAATGGTTATGATGTGTCATGAATCTCTTGATAGGCCAGTGCCTTGCCTAATAAATCTAAGATAAGTGTGAGTCTCTATGCTTGTTTTCTTAGTGTACTAATTAAAAACCCAAAAGTTAATATGCATTTTTCTATTCTATTTTATCTATTTAATTATTGGAAACCAAAATTCTTATTTACTTAGAAAATAGATTTTTTTTCTTTAAAACAATTTTTATGGCCTTTAAATTTTTACAGGGACCTCCTGAGGAGATTTGACTATAAACATAGGAAAGACATCATGCAACCCTACGTCAAAAGTTTCATTTATTAAGAAAAAATTATCGGGGTCAGCTTTAGTCGCTAGGACTTGTTAAGTGGCTTTGCTGGTCTAGAAGCCTCCCTCATATAAATTCTCAATCTCGAGCGACTCTTGCTCCACAGTTTCAACCACCTAAAGGAAGCAAGTGCAGGATTGCACTAGGTTATCTTAGATGGTGATTACCTCTCTTTCACTTGAAAACTTACTATTACATGGTACGTCGAGGTAACATCCTTAAAATTATTTAATTAGGACTAGTAGAGGATGACATTGTAAGTTGGTGCTGAGTCGACCACTAGAAAATCCTAAATTTTTGTGAACTACTTATCATTTCCCACCTAGGCAACAGGCAAGGAGAAAGTTCCTAAGGCTTCCTTGTTCTTGCTAGAGAAGTCAAAGCGTGGGTTAGTTATGACAGCTAAACTGTCGTTTCCAAGACCCATCCATCGAACACCACTTTAAACAAGATATTCATTAAATTGTTGATGTCAATAAGAATGCTACCTAACTACAGGGATTTTCATTAAGGGTACAAATCTGTATCAATAAGAGCGAAGGGGGATGTGTGTTATGTTTGGGTGTGATAGCATCTACACTTAGTTTTCTCGACTGTAGTCTCTTCAGGCTGGCTTGATGGGATGAATATCCTCATAACATGAAGATGGAAATAACAATGTCACTTTTATGAATGGCGTGGGCTCGGATAGAGTAATCTGAAATTTCTTCCCCTAGAGCTTTATCCAACCTCTAGAGCATTGGCATCAAAGTAACAAACTCCTTGACCTTTCCAGCTCTAATTAACTCCTCGACCAAGCTCTAAAGGTGTCAAAATTCCTTCATATCATGGCTATACTCTAGGTGATAGACACAATACTTCTTTGGATTCCGGAGGCAAACTCTGATTATCATTGGCGGTACTTTCCTGAAGTAATCCTTATATTGGATGACTTTCACTATCTCAGCCCTTGTGACCCTCAACGAAATTATTTTTGGTAGGTCATTTTTGGGTATGGTACTTGCTATAGTGAGTTAACCACTGATCAAGATATTGTGTTTGACCTCCTGACTTTTATGATCTATCGACCCCCCTATGGTCCCAGGGCGACTGATGGTCGTCATTGCGTGGATGGCTGAAAGGATGTTAGTCATCATTCAACCTCCACCTATTTCCTTGAGAAACCCTCTTCTGCAATTGATGGGTGAAAGGCTCTCCTTTGAAAGAAATAATGGTGGAGTTGTATCACTCAGCCAAGATATGGTTGTTTGCCAGTTCCAAAAATTTGGCTAATTTCTTCAGTCGTTGAAGGCCCAAAGAGTACTGGAAAGTTCCATCTTTTAAACTTAGAGCTAAGACAGTGTGAGCCCCTACCAACTCCTTGTCTTGCAACTTCAACATCTTATTATGGAAGTAGGTGATAAAGAGTTGAGGCTCTCGTTCCTCATTTACATGATCTGCAACAGGGCTTGCGGGCTCTTCTATAGGTTCTGGGCGTTGGCAAACAACACCCTAAATATTTGCTTAAAGTCACTGAATGAGACAATCACTCTCGATAGTAAGCCGTTGAACCATCTGAGGGGCCGACCCCCTCAGCGTGGTAAAGAAAAGTGAACACTTTAACGCATCGATGATCCTCAGTAAGCATACTGTCAATTCAAAGAAGACTATGTGGTCGATTGAATCAGTATGACCCTTGTAAGATTCTAGTGCAAAGATTTTAAACATCTATGGGAGCTCGACCTCAGAAATTGGCCTAGAAAACACATTCTCAAGCTAACGAGCATTTTAGCACGCCTGAACCAATGCATGTTGACTAATGTTGACCCAACATTGTTGAATTATTAGGCCTTTGTCCAGGGCTAAGGGTGTCCTTCAGTTGTCGGGCATCGACCCCTCTTCTCAAGGATTCTACTCCCTTCACCGAGCTAATGCTTCTCTGATGGTATCCAACATATGATCCTTCAACTTTTGAATATATTGGTTAAAAAACTCTTTGGTGCACATCATGTTATCAGTATTTGTTGTGGGTTTCTTCTCCATGTGTTGCTCGTCTTCTTGCTTGTGACGCGATCTACATTCATAACACCCTTTAGGAAGTTCAATTATGATTTTTTTATGAGTCACACCCAAAGGGTTAGAGCGGAAAAAAAGAGAGATAAAGAGATGAAGACTGAAAATGAACGGTAAAACTTCTTGTCTATTAGTTTTTTTTCATAAAATAATCTCTATATTTATACGGGAGAGAGTATAATATGTGATATTATATTCTTCTCATTCATTAATGAGGTCGTTAGATGACAATTTAGGTGTTTTACATATGCGATCCTATTGTGCCCACAACAGCCCTATGACTGAGTCAGTTGCACTATCATGATTTCGACTCGTTAATGTTAGTTTGGTCGGTTGGATTTGATTAGCTTCGGGCCTGCATAATTGGCTTGGTTGGTTGGGCTTTGCTGATTGGTTGGTCTAGTCTGGCTGTCGACTCTCAATTCTTAGATGAGGATTTCATCTCGACAGAATGTGAATAGACTATCGAGCAGATGGTGGATCACTGTAACTCGATATTAGCTTATTCCGTAATGACGGTGATCTTTTGAGACAATTGTGTGGCTCTGTTGAATGCCAATTCTTAGTCTCTGGGATGAATCTCGTGGGTGTTTGTGGGGCATTTTGTGATGGTGAGGAATCATATTCTTTTCTCTGGTTGGATCTCTTGAGTGGTAGGTCGATACCATTCACTCAGCTTACCGGGGGTTCGCTTCTGTGCTAATCTATCTGTTCAAGTCCACCAACTTAGAGTTGGATCATTCTTTTTATCCTTCTTCTGGCCATCCTTGGCTTGAATGGCTTCATCAAATCAGATAAGTAGGATCTCTTGGTTTCTTGTCTGCGAGCTCTTTTTTTGTTATACTTTTTTTCTTTTGGATCATAGGATCTACTCGAGATTTGTGCTGATACATTCTTAATTTACACTCTCATTAATTTTTACCTAAAAAAATAATTTCTTAACCCTAATATTATTCAACTTTTTTCATAATATTAAAATAAACATAGAACTGGAAGTCAACTATTAAAATTTTTAAAATCAAGTAACGAATTATTATTTTAAAATAATTTGAATTAATCAAATGAGCTCAACTATTTTAATTTTTTTTTTTACTTCAACCAAACAATTAACACCCAACTCACTATTTTATTCAGCTCCCCACGTGATCTGCATCTAACAGTCACGTTGGTGCGGTGTTCATACGGTAACGTTCTCTTCAATCCTCCGGTAACGCCAAAATCGATTCAAAATTTGTAATTCCAACGGTCGGATGACCCCCCAAAACACCCCACAGCGTCAGTCAGATCCTCCCCGTTGCGCTGCACTTTACCCAACCATCGAACTGCGAGAAAGGCTGTAAGACAAACAGCAATCCTACCGAGACTTCGAATCAAGGAATATAGCATGCCCCGTCTCCATCTCGGCCATTTTGAATCAAAATATTTTTGAATTGAAGCTGTAAGACTCATTCAGTTGCTTTGTTTTTCCTGTATTCCATACAATCTCTCATACCTATCTTATTCTTTTCCATTTCCTCTACCATGTGTGGGTTCAAGGATCATAAAACTAGCTCCTTTTCTTCTAGCAGTCCCTTCTTCCATTAATGCATGATAGCATTATCTCTGCGTTTTCCGGTTTCAACAAAGTGCTATGCTTGGTCTCTTGTGGCAATCTTCTCTGCTGTTCTTCTGCTCTTCTTCAGACTAAGAGAAATCGAGCTGAACAGAGCCCCTTCTTCTTCCGGGGACCCTTGTAGCTCAAGCGAAGAGATATCTAGAGGTACTTTACTAAAACCTTCACTTTTACTTTAGATTTTCGAAGTTGTTAGAATCTACCTTAGAACCCACTCGTCTTTCTTCCCTTATTTTCTTCTTTTTTGTAAGCCAAGTTTCCTCTTTTCTTCTTTTGGTCTCTGGGGTCAGTGGGGAAAGCGGCGGCGAAACGGGTGGAGGTCAATATCATTTCTCCTTCATTGAAGTGCTTATCTTTCTTCACTTGCGCTTGGTATGAGACTTGAGACATTAATCTGAAAAATTATTTCTTGGGGGCCTCCCCTTTTCTTGGTCTGACGAGAAAGTTATTAGCTTGCGTCGTTTATATCAATTAATTTATTTTAGCAATTTTTCTCCTGCCATTTTTAACACACTTCTAATTAAATATGAAATGTCAACAAACCAAATCAGTCATAAATTTCAATTAGTACTCATCTGAGCCACTGTAATAAATTTACACACATCTACATGTGAGGAAACCAACATCGATGTAATACAGGTCGTGTGATTTCTGCGAGGAAAAGTTTTGCTAATGAATACCTTGTGTTGTCAGCGATGTAATCTGCGAGGAAAAGTTTTGCTAGTGAAAACCAACATCGATGTAATCAGCGATTAACCAAGGTATTTTGTTCAACCAAAGTATTTTGTTCAACCATGGTGATCATGGCTCCAATTTATATACTAACTTCATATGAGATGGCTGGTTATGGGCAATGTTTTGTGAAATTTGGGAGATAATTAAAGAAACGGAAAGCAAAAAAAAGAACATAGGAGAAAGGTTTAGAATATATTCATTGTCTCTAGTTTTCTGGCAATTCATCACATTCACCCATTTTACTTCCTGATTCATCTCCATCAGCACATTAAGCAGAATTTGGATACCTGCCCCGCTACTCCAACTACCTTAGAAATGAAGCAGTTGGACTTCTGACACTTGTCCTTACATTAATTAACAAACTAAAGAGAACAATGAAGAGAAAACTGAAGCCACTAACATTTAAGAACCGCATTTTCGATGTACTGTGGTCTTAGGTGTGCTTGCTGGTATGTTCAAATGAAAGTTTGGATGTGCAACCTGAAATTCTATTTCAGCAACGCAAAAGACAACTTTTGAAGGGATCCCCTCCGATTGATCTAGGAGTTATTGAGAAACTCTTCACAGGGATGTCATTGAAAAAAAGCAGTAGATTGAAGCTTCGATAAATGACACAGTAATAGAAAATGTGAGTGGAAAAACCAATGCTACCGTTCGTTCATCTAATAGGAGTCAGATATATATATATGAGTGAAGCAGATAATTAGAGAAGTGAAAAATCATGGGATGGCAGGAGGTGGAGCAGGTGGTCCTGCTCTCAAAAGTTTGTTACGATGGAGGTGGAGAAATATCCATCTAGCAGCGGTATGGAGTATAGGGTTGCTAGTTGTCATTGGGTTGTATTATGTTAGAAGATTGTTGTGAAAAACGACTACAATAAAGCGAAAAATGGAACACTAAAAATTACACGCAGAAAAAAAATACCAGAGTGATACACAGATTTACGTGATTTAGCAAATTTGCCTACGTCCACGGAGCTGCAGAGGATTTTATTTTTTCAAGGAATTACACCGTCGAGCGTCTCGACGTTTACAAGAAAATCTCTATTTTATTCTCTCATTCATTTTCTCTCTCTTTTCCTCTCTTTCTCTCTTAGAGGACTTGGCTTGGCTTTGCTTGGCTTGTTTATGACAAATCATAACAGACAATTTGTAGAAACTAAAATAACGGTAGGTGAGAGGTATGTGAGCGGTAGGTGGGATGTGGTAGGTGAGCGGTAGGTGGGAAGGTAGGTGAGCGGTAGGTGGGAAGGTAGGTGGGATTCTTAATTAGAAAGCTAATTAAATAGCTGTGGATCGGGTCTTCACATTACCCAACAATTCTTCCACTCGGAGACTGAGACACTGATTGCATCTTCTACTAGTTGCATTATCTACTAGTTGTACCGAGTTTTTCCTCAAATGTGATATCTTTCACCTTTGCAACTCAAAGCCCATGTCTTCATGCCAGAAGACCAGCAGAAGTTGAGCACAACTTCAGCTTTTCACGAATAACACCTCAGTTGACATATCACTGTCAACGTAGTTTTGTACTACCAACTTCATTCTTGGGTTATTTTTGTATCTGCTTACAACTCACACTGCATGAGCAATACCCTGCCCCTGCCGGAATCTCTTTTCAACAAGTTCAACATTGTTCCTCTCGCCTGATATACCCACTTGTTGTGCAATGTCTTCTTCTTTGGTAGAACTTCTGTCAGCACTCAAGTCTGATTCCCTGGTAGGAAATTTCTCTCCTCCTTCTTGGTCAGCTCCCACTTGCTCGCATTCTCATCTTGCAAGATTTTTTTATAGCTTTGTGGTTCTCCACCATTTGTCTGTACAATATCTGGTTTTTCTGTCTTTGGCGCTCTGCCACTTTTCAAGAAACCAACATTATTCTACTTCCCCATAATGCACTTCTGACTTATGTGTCATCGTTTGATTAAATCTGTAATCATATATAGTGTATCAGTTTTCTTACCTCGAGCCAGTTCTAATGCTCATTTGGTAACCTTCTAGGTATTATCTGAGAACACCACAAAATGACCACCCTCATTGACCTACCCAACAGAGATGAGGTTTTTCCTCAACTCAGGAACGTGTCTGACCTTTTGCAAAGTTCATTTGCTCTTGTTAAGGAGTGTAATATAAACGTCTCTCATCCCCACCACATATAGAATTTTTTCATCAGCTAAATATATCTTCCCAAAGTTACCTGCAACATAATTTCGCATTAACTCCCAGCGGGAAGATGTATGGAAGAAAACTTCTTAATCCAGTATTCAGTTATCAACAGAACTATGAACTGTCAGTAATAGTGCATATTGTCTTTCTTCAGTTACAATATTGACATTATCATTTTCCTTCTTGTTAAGGAGTGTAATATAAACGTCTCTCATCCCCACTACATCCAAAGCTTTTCCATCAGTCAGATATGCTTTCTCCAATTTACCTGTAACATAATTTCCTATTAACTCCCAATGGGAAGATATATGGAAGGAAGCTCCTGAATCCAGTATTTAGTTATCAATAGAACTGTGAACTGCCAACAATAGTGCATTCTGTATTTCTTCAGTTACAACATTAGCGCTATCATTTTTCTTCTTCTTATGATTTCTACAGTTCATTTTTATGTGTTCAGTCTTGCCACAATTCCAACAGGTTGTCTGCTGACCATACTTTGATTTTGATCTTCCTCTATTTGAGTCCTTGTCATGTGATCTCCCTCTGGAATTAACATTCAGTGCCGAACTTGAACACGAGGCCTCGCCAGAAGTCTTCCTGCTCACCTCCTCAGCCAAAATTAAATCACGAATATTATCATATTTCAGTTTAGATTTACCTGCAGAACTGCTAACTGTCATTCTCATGGCTTCATAGCTATTTGGCAATGAAGCTAACAATATCAACGCATCTATCTCATCATCAAAATCAATTTCAACAGAAGAAAACTGATTTGTGATAGTGTTGAAATCATTCAGGTGTAGAGCAACTGACACTCATTCCGCCATCTTCAAGTTGAATAACTTTTTCATCAAGTGCACATTGTTATTTGTCTATGGCTTTTCATACATATTTGATAAAGCCGCTATGAAATCTGCATTAGTCCTCTCTTTGATGACTTTCTGGACAACCGATCTCGACTGGGTTAATCGTATAACCCCCAGAATCTGTTGATTTAACAAATTTCATTCTATCTCGTCCATCTTTTCTGATCATTTTCTCAGTAACGAAAGATGAAGTTTCTTCCCATAGAGGTAGTCCTCTATCTGCATATTTAAGTAACCAAAATCTATGTCATTGAACTTCTCGATTCCCATTACTATCACTTTATCTCCGCCCATCGTTCTTCCTTAGATCTGAAATCATGACTCTGATATCAGCTGTTGTGAAAAAACGACGCAAATAAAGCGAAAATGGAACAAAAAAAATTGCACGCAAAAAAAAATACCAGAGTGACACAAATTCACGTGGTTCGGCAAATTTTCCTAAGTCCACGGAGCCGCGGAGGATTTTATTTCTTCGATGAATTACACTGTCGAGCGTCTCGACGTTTAAAAGAAATCTCTATTTTTTTCTCTCATTTCTCTTCTCTCTCTCTCTTCCTCTCTTTCTCTCTTAGAGGATTTGGTTTGGCCTTGCTTAATTATGACAAGTCATAAGAGGCTCTTTATAGAAACTAGGAGAGCGGTAGGTGAGAGGTAGGTGAGAGGTAGGTGAGCGGTATGTGGGAGGTATGTGAGCGGTAAGTGAGATTCTTAATTAGAAAATTAATTAAATTGAGATAGACCGAGTCTTCCCATTACCCAACAAAGATTTTGTGTGAGCTTAGCAAAAAGATTAGTGGAAAACCCGCTGATTGAGCCTTTTTTTTTATAGGATTTGCACCTTCATCTTTTGTGTTTTCTGTATGTTTTCTTTGGAGAGAAATATGAAAGGAAGTCCTATTGGTGTATTATGTCTGTTGAAGAAAAATAGAATTGCTTGGCACCTCAAGAAAACCAAGAATTGGACTGTCGAACACCCTGCTGTGCTTCAAAGAAACAAATACCTGCAGGCTTGACAGTATGCAAACAAGAAAAACGTGGTTCGGTCCATAGGACCTACTTCCACGAGAGGGAAATCAACCATCAAATTTCACTAAGGAAATAAAGAAGAATTACAAGGCTTTTACATTGAGGAATGCGCTCTCATCTTGTCATGATCTATCTCTCAAATCACATCGATACAAGATCTCCAAGATCCTCCCCCACAATTCTTGAAGCATTGAGTAATGAGCTCTCATCTTGTCATGATCTCTCTCTCAAATCACCTCGATAGAAGATATTCAAGATCCTCCCCCTTAATTCTTGAAGCATCTCCTCTTCTTTCTCTAACCAATTGATTTGTTTTCCCTTGGTCACCTCTTCTCTACTTTCTCTAACATCTCAGCCGGCGATGCCGTCGACCCTTGCAAATCTTATGTGACACCTTGTTGCACTAATAGAGCTCTCATATTGACTCTCCACAGGCTGAAATCATTCTTTCCGGAGCTCTCATATTGACTCTCCACAGGCCGAAATCATTCTTTCCGGTGAATTTCTCGAGGTCGAATTTGGCGATTTCCATTGTCGTGACTAGGTTCCTTACTGACGGCGCCAATTGTTGGAAAGTTTGCCCCATCGAACACTTGAAATGTTCCAAAAAACTCATGCAGATTGGGTTAGATGGGAAAAAACTGAATAACCAAATCGTCAAATAAAATCTTGTCGCACTTCCAAGAAGTGAAGGAATGTTCTTCTTGAAAAGAAGAACCTGCAGGCTAATGATTAATGGTTGAAGATTGGCCCTGTACAGAATACCAAACTCCTTGTGACTGTAGCCAGAACTGCCTGCTTCGGTTTGGACAGCCTAAAAACACCTGCAGGCTGCGGTTAGAAGATGAATTGCCGAACTCACCTTCCTGTATATCTGCTTCGCTTGAAGGGATCAAAGGAACAGCTGTAGAATTGAATATTGATACCTTCCTCCTCCTTGAGTGTCGAATAACACCTTGCTGGACAGTTTTTGTGAGGGAAAAAGAAACTACAGCAAGCCAAAAGAAAACCAGGAAAACAGAAAAGAAAACTACATAAATGAAATGCAAAACAAGAACACAAAAACACCAAAAAATTATGTGGTTCGGTCCATAGGACCACATCCACACGAGAGAATCAACAACAAATCCACTAAAACAATTTAGAAGAAATTACAAGGCCTTTTATATTGAGGAATGAACACACCTCTTGATCTCTTCCTCTTGAAATTACCTCGATACAAGATCTCAAAACTCTCCCCTCAATTCTTGAAGTCTCTCCCCTTCTTCTTCTTGGATTGATTTTCTTCCTCCTCTTCTTCTTGGTTCTTATCTCTCTACAAGCCTCCCTCATCTATTTATAACTAAATGAGGCCTTTCATGTAGACCTGGTTAACCAAATTAGAAGCTTCCATAGTTCTTTAATAACTTCTATGCAATTACAAATTTGTCATTGTCTTAGCTAATTGTGAGTCAATTATAACACTGTTCTTGGAAGACATTTGGAGTATTCATGATGTAGTAATGCATATGCTATTCAAGAATGGTTAGTCACCTCCATTTGATCATTCGTTTTTGAACTTTGTGTGGTGTTCGGTAGTATAAAATTCTTTTGAGGAGGTCCGCCAGAGACAACTCGAAATTTTTGTTCTGATCTAAGACAATAGTTTTGAGTATACCATGATGATGAAAGTGCTTAGAAATTAAAATATTGATCATTGTACATGCATGCAATGATAATGATGCAAATCGAACAGTTTTTTTAAATATATTAACTGTAACAAAGATTTTAAAATTTTGGTTTGATGGTGGCAAGTGGATATGGAAGTCCATGGAGATATCAGGATTGTTGTAGTAGATCATCTGGTGCTAGAGGTCAATATTTGATTACTTGGAAAACTATATCACTAAGGTGTGTTCAATGAAATAATCTCTGAATACAATGTAGTGCCTTGCGAGGTCCAATATGGCTGCTTACCTATTTGGGTTCAAAGTTAGAGGCCATGACAATGCAACCCTATTTCTTAGTTAAGCAATAATGATTCTTATAGTCGGATAATTAATAGGGTATTATAAAATACAGTTATGAAGGTCGTACATTTTTGGATATGTTGAAATCTCTTGTTGAGGCTGTTGAAAGATTTTTAAGAGTGGATTTGTAATTCGAGTGGGATGTTGTTTTGGTGTAGGCAAAATAGTGGTCTCCTTTGCGATTCTTGAATGTGCGACAGCAATCATATTTGTAGAGCTCATTTTATCATTTTTGTGTGAATTCATTGCTAAGGAGTTTGACAAGGAAGCATTATTGTTTGGCATTTGAACAGCACAACAACAATTCTTTTATTCTTTTCTTGTCAGTTGGGATGGTGGTATTCGAAATGATATAAATATCATTTGGATATTGCTCCAATAAAGGGAAACATCTCTCCAAAGTATATGGAAGCTTGTTACATTTTGTGTTTAGTTTCAGTTATAGAATGTCATATGTTGTCCTAACATAGAACAACATCGATGCTTGCACTAGATGCATCAATGTCCATAATAAGGGTTTTTAAAAATTTTGTCAGATGAAGTAACCCATTGGTTTGCCAACTTGGATTTCACTAAATTAAAGGAATCCTTGCAGCATTTTGCAATGGAAGACATCACATTAGGGTCGATTAGTTAACAGAAGAATGTTGTTGGCAAAGTTCTTGAAATATTTTTGATAATAATCGACGAGGCTGGGAAATCTTGTAACACCTTCATTGTTTTTGGTGTGAGCCACTATAGGTTGGTATTAATTGTCGTTTGTGGGGATGAAGGCCAGGAGTGGAGATGGGGCATGGTCAAGGTACACAATTTGAACTTCTTCAAATAAGCTTTTGGAATGACAGGGGTAGAATCATATTGATGGTATTATGGAATATGAATGGTGCATTTTTAAGGCCAAATGGCATCATAGTGTAATTATGGCAACCATCTTAATATCAAGCAGTTGATTTGTGAATGATCTCCTCCCATGTGTACTTGATGGTTTCCCAATCATAACTCTAATCTAGAATAAGTTGATGTCGATGCAACTCATCGTGCATTTTATTAATTATTAAGGAATTTATTGGGAATGGCGGATTAATTGAGAGTCTGATAATCAAGGACATATGCACCATCCTTCTTTTTAACAAGACCAGGGACAAAAGGAGCTCTAACTTGGTTGAATAGTTTTGTTGTCAATTGTTGCCTTTTGATTATTTGGATCATGGTATGGAATATCTTCCTGTGCTGATTTGGGTCCTTGGACTTAAGATGTGTTCATATAGGTGTGAGAAGTCCTTAGTTAAGGAAGCGAGGTGGGTGATTTTTTTGCCCAGCTATTGTAGCAGTCATTCATCAAGAATGATGTTGATGTCTTCAATATGTTGACAGAAGTCCATTTCAAAGCATGGACTTGAAGTTGTAGAGAAGGATTATTAGGTTTATAATGACCATTTTTTCATCCATTTGGCAGGATTAATTTTAAATCTGGCTCCTTCTTTAGGGAAGTTTACATACATACCATACAATTCTTATGTATTACACATTTAACACCTAAATTTTGATTTTTTACATTTATAACACTTTAATTATAAGTTTATGCATGAGAAAATATATTTGATTTTTAAGGAAAGTAGGTGATAGTATCATTTTTTATATGATATTGGAGATTTAATTGCTACATATGTAAACATTAGAGTTTATGTGTTTGATATATAGAATACGTAAGAACTGTGTGGTATGCATGCATATGCCTCCTTCCAACTCATATTAATCTTCACACAAGCCTTAGAAAAAAGATTCACGTCTGCACGTATGTAAGAATACAAGAGGGACCAAACACAAATAATTAGAGAAAATATTACATATTTGTAAGCATATGCATTGATGTGGTGACCATATCACCATAATTTTACTTAAAATTTAGCTGTCGTTTTTTGGAGCTGCTGCAGCTGTTTGAAGAAGTAGTTGTGAAGCTGTTGTAGAATAAATTACTTTTAAAAGTCAGGCCACAATTTTTTAGCAGTCACTACATTTTAGAAGCTCAAATTAATAAAAAAATAGTTTTTTATTATAAAAATTTTTAAATAATAGTAAGAAAATAATTCTCTTAAATAATTGTGATGACGGTCTGAAAGACAAAGCATATAGAAAATTATCCCTAAGAGGCTCTTAGGGTCCGTTTGAGACAGTTTATTTGGTGCGGTGGCGTTTTGAAAACGCATCTGACCTGTTTGGGTAAACTGTTTTTTGGCAGTTTATGCGTTTTTAAAAAGCCAAAACAACTTTTTCACACCGCACCTATCTAGATGCGATGGGAACTTTCTGACAGCGATCTGACTTTTCCAAAAAAATAAAAATTTATAACAGTCATCGCACTTAGCTTATCAGCAGATTATATTTAATCAGCTTATCAGCAGATTATTCAATAAGCTGCAGCTGCGCAAAACAGACCTGTAACTTGTAATGTGGTTCTTCTAATTCACGTCGGTGGATAGGTTTTAAATTTTTTATTTTATTATAATTTGTTTGATAGAGTAAAAATGAGGCAAAAATGAATCAATCAGCGACGTGACTAAATTTAATCTACAGAACCCTTCGCCAATACGAAAAAAATTTCCGTGAATCGATCAAAATTCAGATCTTGTTCCGTCCACTGTAATCACTGTCCTTCTCATTCCCCCAACGCTTTCTTCCCCCGAATGGCTTTTATGTACTTTTATGATTTGGCCGGTCGGATATAGTTTTCATGAAGCAAGACCTCCGTGCCCATCAGGACTAATCCTGTTTTCTAGTTCTTTATTGCCTTCTACTCTTCCCCACACCGAATCCCTCTGATCTTTACCACGCACCAGCACCACCTTTCTCTTTCCCATCTCACCACTTTTTATTGTGTTGCACAGATCTCCTCCGCTGCGCTGTACACACCATGACTGACGAACCAGACCTTGCTCCGGCCGACCATTGGCTCTCCCAAGCCCGCCTTCTCGTTCCCACGGCGCTCCACAGAGCGCAGTCAGCCTCACGCTTTCCAGGCCGCTGGAAAACCATCATTTCAAAGATCGAGCAGCTTCCCTCTTGTCTCTCCAATCTCTCCAGTCATCCCTTCTTCTCAAAAAACTCACTTTTCCGCGAGCAGCTCCAGTCCGTATGCTCCAGCCTTGAAGAAACCATCTTGCTCGCTGAAAACAGCTCCGCAATCGTCGGCAAGCTCCAGATGCAGAGCCACCTCGACTCTCTGTCCGCGAAGCTCGATCTCAACCTCCGCGACTGCAACCAGCTGATAAAAACAGGCGTGCTCGGTAACTCCACGGCGCAATCAGGACAAACCGAGACCGCACGGTTCAGAATCCAAGAGCTTCTTGCTCGCCTTCAGATCGGGCACGCAGAAGCCAAGCATCGGGCAATTGAAGGATTGGTGGAGGCTATTACAGAGGATGAAAAAAGCGTGCTTTTGGTGCTCTGCAGATCCAATATTTCCTCCCTGGTTCAGCTCCTCACTGCAACGGCTGTCAGGACGAGGGAGAAGGCCGCCACTGTTGTGTGCATGCTAGCCGAGTCTGGAAGCTGCGATAACTCACTGGTTTCCGAAGGTGCGCTTCCTCCGCTTATAAGACTAGTGGAATCCGGAACGCCGCGCTGCAGGGAGAAGGCATTGATGGCTCTAGAGAGGTTATCAATGTCACCAGACACCGCTCGCTCTATCGTCGGGCATGGTGGCATCGGTTCGCTTGTGGAGGCCTGCCATGCGGGGGACTCCATTGTCCAGTCAGCCGCTGCTGCTACGCTTAAGAATCTCTCAGCAGTGCCGGAAGTAAGACAGAGCTTAGCTGATGAGGGGGTCATCAAGCTCATGATCCATCTTCTCGATTGTGGAATCATGTTGGGATCAAAGGAGCACGCGGCTGAATGTTTGCAGAAGTTGACATCAAGCAATGAAAGCCTTCGAAAGGCAGTGGTATCTGAAGGAGGAATTCGAAGCCTTTTGGCCTATATAGATGGACCTCTGCCGCAGGAATCTGCTGTGGGTGCTCTGCAGAATTTGATTGCCTCTGTTTCAATTTCGGCTGATAGTCTCGTTTCAATCAGCCTCCTTCCTCGTCTGGTTCATGTATTGAAGGAGGGATCACTCGGAGCACAGCAGGCTGCGGCATGCACCATTTGCAGGATTTCGAACTCCACAGAAGTGAAGAAGATGGTAGGAGAGTTTGGGTGTGTGCCGTTGCTGCTGAAGTTGATGGAGGCCAAGACAAATGGAGCACGAGAAGCTGCTACGCAAGCTGTGGCGAATTTGATAAGTTATCCCCATAACTGCAGGGAAGTTAAGAAAGAAGAAAAGAGTGTCCCGAATCTAGTTCAGCTGCTTGATCCTAGTTCGGAAAACACTGCTAAAAAGTATGCGGTTTCATGTCTTCTGCAATTGTCATCTAGCAAGAAATGTAAGAAACTGATGTGCTCTTATGGCGCCATTGGATATCTCAAGAAGCTTTCGGAGATGGATGTGACTGGTGCGAAGAAGCTGCTGGAGAGGTTAGAGAAAGGGAAGCTGAGGAGCTTTTTCAGCAGGGAGGAGGTGGCAGCAGAGAAAGGGAAGCTGAGGAGCTTTTTCAGCAGGAAGTAGATGTCAGCAGTTTTCTGTTTATGATCCATATGTCTCTGTAATGCTTTTGCTATAGCCTTGTATTTCCTTTGTGCTTCATTTTCTACATGAAGCCTAATATGCGCTGCATGATGTTCTTAACTTCTGATGACTGTAATGTGTGACGTGATCTTCCAAAACGTTTGTAATATCTTCAGTGCTTATTATTAACTTGTCATTTTGTCGCTTTATGAATTATTCTTCGCAGTTGTTCACATTCAGGAGGTTGAAGCAGAAGAGCATGTTGGAGCAAGAGACAATGTTAGCAACTGATAATTTTAAATATTGGCATTTGTCGCATCTTTGATGTCAGACTCCAACTTTTGAAATAGCTTTTATATTATACGACTGCAGATGATATTGTCAGAATTAACATATGTTGATTGCTAGAGATAGATGACCATTTGTTTGACATATTTATAATATTCTGAAATATACTACATATTAGTGGATCTATATAAGCATACATCTATCACATAAGTCGTGTATTTATATATTTAAGATTTAAATTTTACTGTTTTTTAGTAATGTAATTGATATTTCATAATATACAGCCTGAAAACAGGATTTAGAAGCCCAAAAAATTTGTTGTGTTTAACATCCAGTTGACCGGCCATCCAAGCCGACAACCACCCACTGGTTGGCCATCCTGGCCGGCGTTCACTAACCACATGGAGAAACATCCTGTCGGCCACCTCAGTTGGCCAATCACCTTAGCTGGCCACTGGGCCAATCACAGTGAAGAAAGATGGTCGACAACTTACAGGTTACAGGATACTCGGCCAGTCACGAATGATTATATGGGTCGACCACTTACGTCGATGAGACCAGCTGGAAAGCTTCGGAGAGGTAAATCCAGACACGAAAAAGACCTGAGTATCCCTTGCTATCCCCTTATAATCAGGGGTGTTGGTAATGTGGAGACTTGGTCCACACAAATTTAATTAGCTTTCTAATTAAGAATCTCACATACCGCTCACTTACTTTCCCACATACCGCTCATCTACCACATCACATCTACCGCTCACTTACCTCCCACCTACCGCTCTCATGGTTTCTATAAATAGCTTTTTTTGGCTAAAAGAGAAGTCAAGCCAAACAAGGTCAAGCTAAGTCCTTTTGAGAGCTAAGAGAAAGAGAGGAAGAGAGAGAAATAGAGGAACGGAGAGAAGAAAATAGAGATTTTCTTGTAAATGTCGAGGTGCCCGACGGTGTAATTCCTTGAAGAAATAAAATCATCTGCAGCTCCGTGGACGTAGACAAATTTGTCAAACCACGTAAATCTGTGTGCCGCTCTGATATTTTTCTCTGTGCAATTTTACTCGTTCCATTTTTCACTTTATTGTCGTCGTTTTTCATAACAAATGGTATCAGATATTGTGTTTGAATCTAAGGAAGAACGATGGACGAAGACGAAGTGATGACATCGAGGATCGAGATGGGGATCGAGAAGTTCAATGAAGAAGTTCAATGATACAGATTTTGTTTATTGAAGGATGCAGATAGAGAACTACCTCTATGGAAAGAAACTTTATCTTCCGTTGCTGGGAAAGAGACTAGAAAAGATGGACGAGGCGGAGTGGAATTTGTTGGATCGACAGGTTCTGGGGGTTATACGATTAACCCTGTCAAGATCGGTTGCCCACAATGTTATCAATGAGAGGACCACTACAGATCTCATGACGGCTTTATCAGGTATGTATGAAAAGCTATAGGCGAATAACAAGGTGCATCTAATGAAAAAGTTATTCAACTTGAAGATGACGGAAGGTATGTATGTTGCTCAAAACTTAAATGATTTCAACACTATCACAAATCAGTTGTCGTCTGTTGAAGTTGATTTTGATGATGAGATATGTGCGCTGATATTGTTGTCTTCATTGCCAAATAGCTCGGAAGCCATGAGGATGACTATTAGTAGTTCTGCAGGTAAATCTAAGCTGAAATATGATTATATTCATGATTTGATTTTGGCTGAGGAAGTGCGCATGAAGGATTTTGGCGAGGCCTCGTGTTCAAGTTCGGCACTGAATGTTGATTCCAGAGGAAGATCATATGACAGGAACTTAAACAGAGGAAGATCAAAATCAAAGTTTGGTCAGCAGACAATCTGCTGGAATTGTGGCAAGGCTGGTCACATAAAAATGAACTGCAAGAATTCTAAGAAGAATGAGAATGATGACGCTAATGTTGTATCTGAAGAAATATAGGATGCACTATTGTTGACAGTTCACAGTTCTGTTGATGACTGGATACTGGATTCAGGAGCTTCCTTCCATACATCTTCCCATCGGGAGTTAATTTGAAATTATGTTGCAGGTAACTTTAGGAATGTATATCTGGCTGATGGAAAAGCTCTGGACGTGGTGGGGATGAGAGACGTTGATATTGCACTCTCTAACAAGAGCAAATGGATTTTGCAAATGGTCAGACACATTCCTGAGTTGAAGAAAAACCTTATCTCTGTTGGGCAGCTCAATAATGGCGGTCATTCGGTAGTGTTCTCAGATAGCACCTGGAAAGTTACGAAAGGAGCATTAGTACTGGCTCGGGGTAAGAAAACTGACACACTATATATGACTACATATTTACTCATGCAAGGACACATGAGTCAAAGATGCATTATGGGGAAGCGGAAGAATATCAATTTCCTGAAAAGTGGTAGAGTGCCAGAGGCAAAAAAACCAAACCTTGTACAGACAAATGGTGGAGAACCATATAATTATGAAGAAATTTCGCAAGATGAGAATTCGAGCAAGTGGGAGCTGACTAAGAAGGAGGAGACAAATTCCCTGTCAGGAAATCAGACTTGGGAGCTGGCAGAACTTCCACCAGGAAGAAGGAATTGCATAACAAGTGGGTGTACGGGTGAAGACTGTGTTTGGTGACAGTAAGAGGTACAAGACAAAACTTGTTGAAAAGGGCTTTCAGCAGGGCCAGAACATTGCTCATGCAGTGGGAGTTATAAGTAGATACAGGAGTAACCTAGGAAAGAGGTTGGTGGTACAAGACTACATTGACGGTGATATGTCAACTGTGGGTGTTACTCGTGAGAAGCTGAAGTTGTGCTCAACTTCAGCTGGTCTTCTGGCATGAAGACAGCGGCTTCAAGTTGCAAAGGTGGAGGCTATCATGTTTAAGGAAAATGTCGGTACAAGTAGTAGATGATGCGGCCAGTAGGTGATGCAGTTAGTGTCCCAGTCTCCAAGTGAGAGAATTGTTGGGTAACGTGGACATCCGGTCCACCGAAATTTGATTAGCTTCCTAATTAAGAATCTAGCCTACCACTCATCTACTTTCCCACCTACCGCTCATCTATCACATCCCACCTAGCTCCCACCTACCTCTCACATACCGCTCTCATGGTTTCTATAAATAACCTCTTTTGACTTAAAGGAGAAGCCAAGCCAAGCAAGGCCAAGCCAAGTCCTCTTGAGAGCTAAGAGAAAGAGAGGAAGAGAGAGAGAGAGAGGAAGGGAGAGAAGAAAATAGAGATTTTCTTATAAACGTTGAGGCGCTCGACGGTGTAATTTCTCGAAGAAATAAAATCTTCTGCAACTCTGTGGACATAGAAAAATTTGTCGAACCACTTAAATACTGTGTCGCATTTTGGTCCTTTCCTTTTGGCTCATCACATCTACTTTATGTCTTGTCACTTTATGTGGTTCGACACAATTTTAGAGGTTTCATGTACAACCTAAAAATAGGCTTCAACAAGCTAAAGAATCCACCATGGTTGAAGGCATCGTTGTCGGAACTATCACCAGCACATACAAAGCGCCAACATCAATATGGTCGACCATTCTAGCCAATAACCACTTGTTGGCCAACCACCCAGGCTTGCAATTTGAAGTGAAACCAATCGGCCACCTTTGTCGGCACACCTCAGCCGGTTATTTGGACCAGCCACGTGGAGAAACATTCAACCGACCACCCAACCTTAGCTGACTATTTGGGCTAGCCACATGTAACCTCACCCGATCGACATCTTGGGGCCGACCACGATGAAGAAAGCCAACCACCTTGGTCGCCCACCTCCAAGTTATCAACAACTTCGGCCGGTCGCGAATGACTATATGGGTCAACCACTCGACATCGACGAGACCAGGGGAAAAGCTTTGGAGAGGCAGCTACTAGCACAGAAAATACTGGAGTACCCCTTGCTACCCCTCTTTTAAACAAGGACATATCTGTAATTTCCTCTCATCCCCAACCTCACCCTCCTTTTCTGTATAAAAAGAGGACCTCTTGGATGCAAAAAGGGTCCTTTTAGTCTCTCTCTCTCTCTCCCCCTCATAAGGATCCCCCTCATAAGGAGCTTGCTCTCTCATTTTCACTCACTTGTAACCTTAGACTTCTATGGAATAATAAAGGTTGTCGAGTGGTGACCATCCCTATTTGCTCCTTGATAGGGCAACCCTCGCTCTCTCTCTCCCTCTCTTTCTTCACCCCGGAATCCGACTTTATTCCTTGGGCACAGTCTAGCAGACGAGTTTGGATTCAACACATCAATAAATTGTCATTTGGTATAAATCACGAGGCGATTGGCAGGAATCATGGAGCATTTTTTTCAGCAAGAAATACTGAAACTCAAATAAAAATTTATCTATAACTTTGACAAACATACTGTTGAACTGACCGTCTGGACGAAATGGACCTAATAAAACAAAAATTGGCTGAACCTGAGTCAAGTCAAGCTCGGATCAAGGAATTTCAAACACGTTTGGAGTTTTGGGTGGTTAATTGAAATACCAAATGGATTTTAAATCTGACAAGTTTATAATCAAATCAAACACCTCCAAATGTTTTAGCTATATATTTGTATTCCCTTAGTGCTTCATTATCTCCATGAATCATAATATGCGATGCATGGTGTTCTTTAGTAACTTCTAATGACTATAATGTGTGATGTGATCATCCAATTATTAATTTGTTTTTTGTCTCTTTATGAATTATTCTTCGCACTTGTTTTCATTCTGAAGCAATATTGGGCGATTAATTATGAAGAGCATTATCTTTTTAACAAAGATGGAGAAAGAGACAATGTAACAGCTATGATAATTTTAAATATTGGCATTTGTCGCATTTGATGTCAGTCTCCAACATTGGAAATAGCTTTTATGTTATACGACTACCAATGATATTGTCAAAATTAACATATATTGATTGCTAGATATAAATGACCATTTGTTTGACATTTTTATAATATTCTGAATGTATCACATTTTAGTGGATCTATATAAATATATATCTATCACATATGTCATGTATTTATATATTTAACATTTAAAATTTACTTTTTTTAGTAATATAATTGATATTTCATCAACAAATTTTGTCATTTGGTATAAATCATGAGGCGATTGGCATGAATATTGGAGCATTTTTTTAGCAAGAAATATTAAAAATCAAATAAAAATCATTCAAAATTCTTATTTCAAGAAACTTATAGTTGAACTGACTGTCTGGACGAGACGGATTTAATGACACCAAAATTGGTTGAATCTGTGTTAAGTAAAGGATGGATCAAAGAGTTTCAAGCACTTTTGGAGTTTTGGATGGCTAATTAGCAGGTTAAATGAATTATAAATTTGACAATTTTATAGCTAAATCAAACGTCTCGATGAAACAAATCTAACGAGCTCAAAATCACTTAATTTAGACATCATGAAAGCACGTAAATGTCAATAAAATATCATCTGATTATGAGAATATCTCGGAGCCATCTGATAGAGTGATTTGGATTCATTCTTTATTTATCGGGGAAGTAATCCAAAACTCTATAAATAGAGCCCTACCCTTCATAAGAGAGGCTTAGACTTGAAACAGAGGAATGACTGGATCTAGAGTTAGTTTGCAAAAAAGTTGAATTCAAGTGTCGTTCCAGATTGAGAACCCGTTAAACGCTTTCTGCCCCCACAACTATCAAGTACCGCTGCTCACTGGCCATCATCACCCACCCCCTGATCTCTACAATGGAGTTCCTTGCGAGTTACGATGTACACTGCAGAGTAATGAAACACCGTGCAGAGAAAAGACCAACGGCATAGAGCAATGACGTACCCCCTATGGAGTAGTACATCATCCTGAACAAGTGCAACGACGCACCACGAAGATCTTGCGTCGAAGTCCCGGCAACTACTCCCAATTGAAATTGCTCTTGACTGTTATACTTTAAGGAATCGTATAAGCCTTTTCCGCTTGTGGGACAAGGGTCAGAGTATATACTCATCAACTTATAGTTGATTGATGTTCACACTTACAGTCTACCAACTGATAAGAACCTCTTTAATATAATTTCTCTATCGTGAACTGACTCCCAACATTGGTTCAATCTTTCGGCCTACTTTTTGATGAGCAAGAATCGAACTTTAAGGACTAAGACCAATTCTCTTACACGAAATGTCCTATGAAGAACTAACTTATCGTGAGCTTGAACCATTCATGCTTAGTAAATTTTTAGATTTTGTTGAGTCGGCGGTCTTGTCTTTCTGCTACTTCAAGTTCTTTTAACCCTAACCAGATGTTCAATTTTATAAGAGTTCAGACAGATGGCAACTCTTAATGAGAAAATTCACACTTCTAATGGAAATATGGCCTCAGACTCATAAAATAAGGCAAAAGAAGTGGATTGAGTTGACCTTCTTCTCAGATAACGAAGCACCGCCGAAATAGAACCCCCATCATAGTTTATCTTAATCTTCCAATGCAATGTTTTGTGCATCAGGTTTGTCGACATTTAAAGGAGTGTCAGCAGACAGTTGATTTGCTACCAAGAAATTGGACAAGGCTTGACTTGTAGTAGCATGTAAGAGAATAAAAGTTATATCAAATTGAAATAAAATCATTAACCATCTTGTTAGTATTTCTGATAAAATTGAAGGGACTAACAAATATTACAAAGGATAAAACCTAGAAATAAGACCGACTTTGTGAGAGACCATGTAGTGACTTAATTTCTGGACAACAGAAATCAAGGCTAAACCATGTTATTTGATAGGAGGATAGTTTCTTTCTGCTGGCATAAATTAATGCTAAAGTAATATAATACATTCTCCTTGCCACATTTGTTTGAGCTAGCAGTGCACCGTAGGATTCATCTAAAGCATTAGTGTAAATGATTAATGGCCGACCTAGGATGGGGGTCGCTAATACTAGAGGTTTCATTATGTATTATTTTATGCTTTTAAAGGCTTGTTGGCAATTGACA